TGCCACAATTTGTGAATAGTGTTCTCACCAATGAAATGGAAGTGCTAGATATATAATTGTCACCTGTAGATCAAATACAAATTCTACCGTAGCTCACGCTGATTCATAGTGGAGCGCAAAATCAAGGCATTTCATAAAACATTTTCTTCTTTATCTTCGTCTTCCATGACCGCTTCTCCTTTTGGGTCGCGGAGGCAATTGCATCCAACAGTGCTTTCAACGTTCCCGACCCTGTGCCAGAGTCTGAGGTTTGGCAAAAGACAACTGGAGTCTGGAACAGACTCTTTCCATATATCTGCACAAGTTAATCTTGGCCCTCCCCTGGGCCTTCAGCCGGTTGAATTCGCACCAAGGCTCTAAGACATTCATTATATTTATTTTAAATGAAATAAAAACAATAAAACATTTATTTCAATAAATTCTGTTTGGTGCATCAGCGATGAACCGACAATACAAGGGCAGTGATAGTAACAGCCGAAAATCAGAAACGTCAAATTAAAAATGCCATTTCACTTCACTGCACATTCATCTTCGTTTCATGCAGCCATAATATAAAAAACCAACCGCAGCTGATGAGATTTATGACGTTCAACTTTACAGTGATCTGTTAAACAACGCGACATAAATTGAACTGTAGATTCTGTCTGAGGAATGTAAATATCAACTTGACTAAGCCACTTGTTCCATGTGATAGACATAGTGACATCAATCTATAAAGTGAATAGAAAATCTTATTTAAAGTCTCCGCTTCAAATCATAATCATTTGCTGCATCGAAATGCTAGACCTGTGACTCCTTGGCTCGAATCCATCATATTATACGTTACTCATTCTTGACGTTATGCGATGAGCAGTTCGTACAAACTCAATCTGGGCCTGACAACTGTATCATGTCTGAACATTTCACTTTTTTATTCCTAAAAATGCAGGAGCCCACGTTTTTTGCTCATCATTCTATTTAATATGCTCAAATCACTTTTTATTTTTCAATTATTACCTGATTTTATTACTCTTGGCTCACGCTCAGTTGTCTAAAGTTTACTGTACGATAAAATAGCAGTTTGACTATGTTTATATATGATTCGATTTCAATACTTTTTATTACTAGTAAAAACTTTAACTGGTACATAACCGCACAAATCTGTATTTTGCAGTAAAATTCGATTATCATTATTGATCTTTACCTTATCGCTAGTGATTATCATTAGATAATCGAAGTTTATAGCCAAACACAAAAAGCCGATAATGAAGAAGTAGACCAGTTCTACGAGGAACTAAAGAGCGCAATGCAAAGCGTCCAAGGAGATTTCAGCGCACAGTAGGAAAAAGTCTGACAGAGTATTTCATCTTCCCGCTAGGAAGTAGAGAGTGAAACAAATGCAGCACCCACCTCTGCTTTTGCCGAAAATAACCTCCTCGACATCATGAATAGAATATTTACCATAGTGTAAGACGGCAGTGGATGTGGAGGGACCCTAATGGAACGAGGCCAAACCAAATCAACTGCTTGTTGAGTGAAATAGGGCTGGTAATAACAGACGTGCCATTCACTAGAAAAACATTCTTTGAACGGGTTCGAACCATCGATAGACTGCTCTGCTTTACATTCATGATCGCTGGCAGAAAAGACAATTGGATTAGAAGGTCTCAAAGACTACTGGAGACTGGAAGAATATTCGATCCTTAAGATTCTGCAGGCAAGCATCTTTACTTCAGCCTTGTAGTAGACATCAACCGAGGCATCGATGCACACTACCAGTACCTCACCGATATCATAAAAGCTACTACGCTGTCACTAAGCACGGAAGTAATGTCGACGAAGAAAAGAATATATCGACACTGCAATGATGCAGCTTACGGTCAGAAGAGCCAGAATAAAGGCTGGTGGGCAATTAAGCTACGAGTACAGTGAGTTGTGTAAAAAAATACTGAAGAAGATTTGGAGGAATATCAAGAGTGGCATATGTCATGGCACGGACGGCATAAAACCGGCTGATCTCAAATCAGGAGGGATGTCACTGTTCCGAACCCTTGCCGAACTACATACAGAGTACATCAGGTTGACGATGACGCCAGAAGTGCGGACAAGTTCCTTGATTATTCTTTTGTTTAAGAAAGGTGATGCTGAAGAACTTCAGAAATATCAATCGACCACTATCCA